TTCTGTTGCCTGCCCATCTTTGTGTATGTGTGTGTATTTGTGAAAAATCAGTTCTTTATGACATTTGGTGATATGGGTTCTTGGATTTATGCTTCTATTTTTCGTTGTGTTCTGTAAAACCAACGAAGCATAGCAAGAATTATTCTGGCTAGTCAAAGGTTTCTGTGTCTGAATTGATTATCACAGTGGGTGTTTGATTTCCCCCCTTTGTGTCAGTGTGTTTGTGTGTGGTCTTTAACGGCCTGTTTGGTTTTGGTTTTGGTTGTGGTTGTGTTTTTGTTTTCTGTTCGAGTAAGTGATTTCCTTCCATTCCAGTTTCTGTTGCCTGCCCATCTTTGTGTGTGTGTTTGTGAAAAATCAGTTCTTTATGACATTTGGTGATATTGGTTCTTGGATTTATGCTTCTATTTTTCGTTGTGTTTTGTAAAACCAACGAAGCATAGCAAGAATTATTCTGGCTAGTCAAAGGTTTCTGTGTCTGAATTGATTATCACAGTGGGTGTTTGATTTCCCCCCTTTGTGTCAGTGTGTTAGTGTGGGCTTTAAGGGCCTGTTTGGTTGTGTTTTTGTATTCTGTTTAAGTGCTTTTCCTTCATTATAGTTTCTGTTGCCTCCCCATCTTTGTGTGTGTGTCACATGTTGGTGAAAATCAGTTATTTACGACATTTGGTGATATGGGTTCTTGGATTTATGCTTCTATTTTTCGTTGTGTTCTGTAAAACCAACGAAGCATAGCAAGAATTATTCTGGCTAGTCAAAGGTTTCTGTGTCTGAATTGATTATCACAGTGGGTGTTTGATTTCCCCCCTTTGTGTCAGTGTGTTTGTGTGTGGTCTTTAACGGCCTGTTTGGTTTTGGTTTTGGTTGTGGTTGTGTTTTTGTTTTCTGTTCGAGTAAGTGATTTCCTTCCATTCCAGTTTCTGTTGCCTGCCCATCTTTGTGTGTGTGTTTGTGAAAAATCAGTTCTTTATGACATTTGGTGATATTGGTTCTTGGATTTATGCTTCTATTTTTCGTTGTGTTTTGTAAAACCAACGAAGCATAGCAAGAATTATTCTGGCTAGTCAAAGGTTTCTGTGTCTGAATTGATTATCACAGTGGGTGTTTGATTTCCCCCCTTTGTGTCAGTGTGTTAGTGTGGGCTTTAAGGGCCTGTTTGGTTGTGTTTTTGTATTCTGTTTAAGTGCTTTTCCTTCATTATAGTTTCTGTTGCCTCCCCATCTTTGTGTGTGTGTCACATGTTGGTGAAAATCAGTTATTTACGACATTTGGTGATATGGGTTCTTGGATTTATGCTTCTATTTTTCGTTGTGTTCTGTAAAACCAACGAAGCATAGCAAGAATTATTCTGGCTAGTCAAAGGTTTCTGTGTCTGAATTGATTATCACAGTGGGTGTTTGATTTCCCCCCTTTGTGTCAGTGTGTTAGTGTGGGCTTTAAGGGCCTGTTTGGTTGTGTTTTTGTATTCTGTTTAAGTGCTTTTCCTTCATTATAGTTTCTGTTGCCTCCCCATCTTTGTGTGTGTGTCACATGTTGGTGAAAATCAGTTATTTACGACATTTGGTGATATGGGTTGTTGCCTTGCTGCTTCTATTTTCCATTTGGTTTTGTAAAACCTCGAAGCATTGCATGAACTTTTCTGGGTTGTCACTTGTCAAGGTTTCTGTATCTAAAATGATGACCAAAATCGGTGTTTTTCATTTTTCCCCATTGTGTGTGGTCTTTAAGGGTCTTGTTTGGTTGTGTTTTGTTTTCTGTTTAAGTGCGTGCTTTCCCTTAATTCTAGTTAACGAAGTGGTGAAGAGTTCATAAACACCGCAACAAGTAACGCTCAGCTTGCTGAATTATATTGTGATAAATGGTAATTACTCTGCCCGACCATTGTTTTGTAGGAGACCTTGAGAGAGCATACTTGATTTGCTTCCCTAAACTTGGAGCGATCAGGGTAAATGGATTAATGGTATGTTATTAGATTGTTACTTCCTTTTCTTGAGTACCAATAATGTACCTGGCACTCTGTTTGTTTCAACAGCAAACATATTTTGAAAAGTGGTTTCCTCATTTTCTATCGTTTAGTATGACAGAAAATGAAAGTCAACATCAAACAAGCATATTTGGGTGGGAAATGTTTCTCACTTTTGAAAGAGAAAAAACATTTTCCAACCTAAAGTTTTACCAATGCCACCATCCCAACACCGTTGCCACCTCCTCCACCACTAGCACATTAGTTTCAAAAGTTTTCCGTATAAAAAGTTAAATGTTTTCCACTGAAATAAACAGAGCATGGGTTATCTAATATGCTTTCAATGCCACTCATGCTTCAAATTGAGCACTTTTTCTTCTTGTTGCCTCTGGCAGGTGAAGCAAAGGTCATGCTTCTACCACCTTCCTGACTCGTTGCCAATGAAGCATGCTTTCCAGGGTTTAAGAGGAACATGGTTTATTCACGCGGAAGCACATCCTTGGAGTGATTCTAATGAGTCAGGTTTATCAGAATGTGTTGTTGCAGAAATCAGAGATAGAACTTCTAATAGTATAAAGGTTACTGATTCTCTTGAACCTAAAATCCCGGTGTCAAGTGCGAACAAGAATCATGTGAACTGCAAAAGAAAGAAAAATGGGATTAAAAGAATTCCATACGCGAAAGTTGCACTCCAAGTGATTCTAGCAAACACCCACCGTTCAAAAAAGAAGAAAAGGAAGAGGGTAACGGAAAATTGCTCTCTACATTGTACAGTGAAAGGGCTCGAGAAGGGCTGCCTTAGTAGAAATGGAGGTGACACTGCTGAAGAGAGGGAATTGAGTGCAATATTGGAGAACCATAGCGAGACATTATCAGAATCGTTATCCGTTTCAGGCATCATCAAGAAATACTTTTCTGATTACGAGGAGGTGAGTTTAAGGTCCAATTTTACATCTAGAGCAAACCAAAGTCAACGTAAAAAGCAATTGACGACTAGAACAGATAGTAATTGCTTGAAGTCAAAAGTTAGTGGAATTTCGCAGTTTACGCCCAAGACTCCTCCAAGAGTGTTGCCTTTTCCGTTGTCTACTGATCTTAGTTCCAAAACCTCAAGGAATATAGTTAAGAGAACTGGAGTTGGAAATCGTCTTGTTGTGGCCTCAAATAATCTCGGGATATCTGTAAAATCTGCAACGGGTCTCTGTAGATTCGGAGATCGAAAGTTATCAGTGCCCAAATCTAGTTCCTTTGTTAGAAGTATAGTTTTTGAAATTAGTGACAGTGATGAATGAATAATGTTGAGGTAACACTCTCTGGTTAGACTCTCGTGAAATGGATACACTTCTGCGGAGAAGGTTGGACATTGCAGCAAGCCAGTTACTAGTGCTTCAGTAGCTGAAAAGCTTGGAACTTCGAGGGCTTCCACGATGCAGTCTGTAAAATTTAACGTTCATTGACACGATTGGGACCCTTTTTCAGGTTCAGTTTTATATCCGGATATTGTTCGTATGAGGTAAATGATGTCGACAAGGGTACTGAAAAAGTCGATTATATATGACTTAATGCTCTACAGCCAATGTAGGCTGCTAGGCGGAACACATCAGTTTTCGCAATGATGCTTTGGGTTGAGAAGGAATTCCCCAACCCTGTTTGTGCAACCATTTTTTGCTTTGAATCGTCTAATATGTTGTCTTTGATCTATGATTCACGGATATGAACAAGACAAGTATTGTAGCCAAAGCAATGTAGTTTGGATAATGTTTTGTTGAGGTTTGAGTCTCCAGGTTGTTGGTATGAAATGTAGGAAAATGTTGAATGTTTCTGGGAAATTTTTGAAATTGGTCTGAAAATTTCTCGTGTATTTGAGTTTTAAAGTGTTTTGAGTTTGTGTGGAATAAGAAGGATCACAAGTGTGCTTCATCTTGCAAGACCATTTTTTGTTGCAAGCCAATTTTAAGAACATATTTGATTGTGTTTTCCTGATTCTCATATTTGTTCGTATCCATAGTTAGAACACCTTGTTTGTATTTAAATTTACGAACAAATGTGAGGAGTCGGGATTTAGTCATTGAGATGTTAGCAGAAATTGGTCAATTTTTAGTAAGATCGTTAATTTGAAATTTTGATCTACCAATTTGTTCATTTGAAATTTTGTCGACTCCTAAAATTATATTTCAACTTAATTGGTTTAGTTTGCTCTCATTTTAAACAAAATTCAATTGAGTTGATTACAACACACCCTCCAAATAAAAATAAGTAGCAAGAATCAATTATGATACCTTTTTTCTTTCAAAAGTTTGTGAAGCTAAAGGAAGGAATAATCTGACTTTCGGGTAACCTTCTTTCTTGCACCCTTATGAAAGAAAAATAAAGAATCAAGTTACCCCAAGGAACAAGAAACCAAGTGATTGGTTGGATCAGATTTTAAATGCTTTTCAGATTTTTTTCTCTTATAGTTAGATCATGTTTTATTATAAGTAATAAAATTAAAAAAATTTAAAAATTAAAAATTATTTTTAAAAACTCAAAATCAAACAAAGTAATAAAAGTTGTGGTAACATAGGAATTAAGCATCTCCAAACTATAGGGGTTAACAAAAAGGGTTTATTATAAGGTGTTAAGATCCTCTAGAGTCATTTCCTAGAGTAATCTTCTATAGTGAAGAGAGAATGCCCGACACGTGCCCCACTCAGCCTCCGAGGGCTGAGATTCAAAATCACTAAAACGACGTCGTTCTGATGAGTAAATTGGAGAAAAAAAAAGTGTGTTTGGTTCGAATTTTCTGAATTAAATTTTTTGAAAATTGAGTTTATTTGTTTTTAGTGAATATTTTTAAAATTTTAAGCATTTTTTTGGGTACTTTTTTAGATGCATCTTACTTAGATGTGTCTAAAAAGTAAAATATTTGTGAAAAAATATTTTAAAAAATTAATAAATACACAAAAATACGAAAAATGTACTGAATTTTATTTTATTTTATATATATATATATATATATTTTGGTGTTTAGTGAATTTTTCAAAGATTTTTTTCACAAAAATTATACTATTTAAGTGTATTTATGTTAGGTGTGTCTAAAATTTTTCAAAATTACTTAAAATATTAAAAAAATCAGTAAAAATAAAAAAATACGAAAAATAAGAAAGTAGAATTTTTTGAAAAGTGTTTTTAGAAAACTCAAACCAAGCATAGTGAATATTTCAATGCTGGGTTTGTTTCATTGAAGAAGACGATGGTCTTGCCTCTCTTGCAGACATGGAAGCTGGGTTCTCTAGAAACAACAAGAAGAAGCCATATATGCAAACAATATAAGGAAATGTGTAGGTTCCATTGCTGCAACTTCCAACAATGGTAGTAAGATGAACAACAATGGTGAAAAAAAAATCCTAACCAAGATATGGGATTTGGGTCCTTGAGTACTGAATTAGAACATGACATTGAGTTCTCAGTGAAACAAATTAAACAAAAAATACAGGAAACAAAAAATGATCCAAATTAGAACATGAAATTTCAATGGCAAACACAAGTAACCCAAAAAATAGATCTGAAGTTTGAATCAAGAGTTGATAATTGGATGTTATCAAGCAAGCTTACTAAGACACAATTGACAGACCCATGGAGAGAGAGATAGAGAAAACCCAGTTGAATAAAGAGAAATTGATGGATGAAATTTTGAACTTTTTTTTTTATTGAGATTGAGAAAGAGAAAAAACCCACCATCCTTCTTATTCTTCTTCTTCTTCTTTCGATCCAAGAGGTTAGTTGTTGTGGCCGACGGCAATGGTCACTTGGTCATGTTGGTGAGGCTGCCGGAGCGACTCCGATGGGTTTGATAGGTTTTAGAGAGAAAAATGAGGAAGAAGATGAAGAAGGGTAAGAGGAAGACATCTATTCTTTTTTTCTTTTTTCTTTTTTAAATTTTGCTCCAAAATGACGTCATTTTGGGAAGTTTGAATCTCAATCCTTAGAGGCTGAGTGGGACATGTGTCAGACATCATCTCTTCACTGTAGGAGATCACTCTAGAAAATCACTCCAGAGGATATCTGTAGACGCGCCCCGAGGCTTCATGCTACAGTTTGGACTCAAATTGTCACGGTTCTGAATCTAGTCTCGCAAAGTGCAATGCAAGACCGATAAATCACCAAAGAGTCCAAATTCGGCAAATCGTTTTGGAAAACTGATTTTTGTAAAGAAGTGCCAAACATGGACGCTTTGCCAGATACAGAGTCGCCACCTAAATATTTTATTTTGGGAGAAATTTAGGAAACCTTGACTCGCACCTAAGGCCACGTGTTCGTCATCACCAAAGTTGCCTTGGCTCGGGAACTTGGGTACGATTGGGGAAGGTCATCTATGAGCACCTCCGCTCACTCGATCAAAGATCGGCCACTACTAAACATGATATCTAGTTTTTGAAAACACATGTGTTCTTATTCCGGTTATTAAACCTAGAATTACTATGTGATGCGCACAGCATACAAGTATAGACTAGATCGCCTAATTTGCAACAAAGCATTGTATATCCGTTTGTTTGGAAAATGGTTTGAAGTTTGCTACTCGTAATTAGGCTAAAATGCGGATTTCAATGAATTGTTCCAATTCAAGCAATCCAACCTTCACCCACAGGCATTCAGGCAGTTTATATCACATAAACAATTAGCCTCATGGCAAACATGCTAGCATGGCAACATTCACACTGATGCAAGGATGCTAAAGCATAAACACTTGCAAGGTACTCCGAGCCAAAACAGAAACTAGTTAGTAATCAATGCATGATCCTAGTTCATGTTAAGATGGCTAATGCAACACATGCGAGATGCAATTAGAAATAGGCTCGGCTATCCTAAAATGGCATGTAAGATGCAGTAATTGATACATGTATTCAACTTAGAATTAAAATACGATGCAGTTAGTATGATGCGCCGAGCTCGGTGCATGCAAGATAAATGAATGGATGCAAACATGTAGGCATAAGTATGCTAGACAGATGAATTGATGCAAACATGGAAAGCATAAATATGCTAATTGAAAAATGACCTAAAACTAACCAACAAAAGCAGGTAAGTAAAAGGGAGAAAGAAATGGAGGTTGGAAGACATGCACACACGCACGCACACTTATTACAAAATTGGCCCTCTCGACAGAGGGTCCGAATAAATAATACATGCCAACTAATTAACTAACTAACAAGCTAATTAATTATTACACAACCGAATAAATAACTAGCTACAACTAATTATTACAAAACTTAATTAATTAACAAATTAACTAATTATTACAAATTGATGCTAACTAACAAGTAAGCATTTAAACAAAGCTGCCTTGGCAAGTTGGAAGAAGGTGGACATGCATGCTTGGTTCCCGTCCCGGTAAGCTCTCTGGTTGCTCTCTAGAGGTTCTGTTTGCAAGGTGTCCTTGAGACCTTGTTGCTGAATCTTACCAAAAACATGCTGGGGAATACATCAGTGGCCTGTCGGCCATGGGGAGCTGCTGTCGACCACCTGCCGGCCAAATATGGTACATTGCTGGCCAAGGATGAGGAGGTGCTGGCCATCTGTAGGGCACTGCCGGCCACTGATGTGCTAGGACACCAAGCTGCAGTAGAGCACAAAACAGAGAAAATGGAGGGTCTCCCAAGGGTATGTACGCACTATGCCACCCCATATCATCTCAAAACATCAAGGGAGAGGCATAGTCGGATCTATGACCATCAATCACGCATCCCGATGCATGATGGCCAAAGATCCAACTTGTGCAAATCAATGAGAAATGAATGCACAAATAAACACATAAAGCCTAAAACTCTATCATGTGATGATCAAGAGGGTCGGCGACCAAGAATTGAGACACGTTTCATCACTTGAAGTATGAAACGCCCCTCGTTCCTCGTGCTCGGATTAACACTTTAATCCAGACGACAATGCAAAACAAGCATGGCAAACATGCAATGCAACAAGCATGCAAACATGCAATGCGATAAATCAAGCATGCAACAAGTATATAAGCATGATGTGAGGTAACAACCTTGAATCACATGATAAAATGTAACATGATCATACAAACATGCAAGGCATGTGAAGGCAAACAAGTATGCAACAACATACGAAATGGGACAAGCATGTGACAACATAGTAAGATGGGCTTACACTAAAGATGGATAGGCCTCAGCCATGCCTAAAATCAGTGGCCAATGGCGATGGAACTAAGTCACCAAAACACACACAAGCATGCAAAATGCAATGGCTCACCAACTGAGGCATAAAGGTGCAACTCTCAAGAACACTTAAAGAGTGAAAAGCATGGAAGTGTAACAACACTAAGTGCACTGAAATGAGGTAAGAAATGATGTCGAATCATTTAAACAACACAAGTAAAGCATGCAAAGGTCCTTAAGCATGAAGGCTAATAAAGAGGACCACAAAGGAGGCATGCAATACATGGCACAAGTGCATGAACTAAGCATGGACAGAGCTTAATTAGGTCTAAGAAAAGACTTAAACATGCTGAGATGAAGGCTCAAAGACCTAGGCATGCAAGCATACAAGCTAAGCCAGAACAAGGTAACAAATGCTCAACCCTCAAAGGCACTTAAAGCATGATTGAAGTGGTAACATGGCAATGCTATAGGCTCTAAAATGAAGTACTAAGTGATGCCAAATCATCTAAATAGCTCAAAGATAGCATGCAATGGTGCTCAAAGCTTAAGGCAAGCAAGAGCATTTGTACTACAAGTATACAAAACATGAAGCATACGGTTAAGGCAACCCAAAACAGTCCTAGGACATGTTAAAACAAGACTAAAACATGTATGGAAGTGAGCCAAAACAAGCTACCATGGTGAGCATGAGGCATGATGCATACAAGGCAAATAAGGTGGATTACACTACACCTATTAAGACCAAGCATGGGATGACTCAAGCGACAAAA